TACGAAACATGAGGTACTTTTCTGCCGTTAATTTACTGCTATCCCGCTTATAAATTGGAGGTGTGGATAGACTCTGCTAGCTCTTATCATTTCGAGTTTATCAGTCAGCCACGCAAACAACCATGCATTTCAGCGCAGCCGCTTTGTCTCGACAAGACCAGCCCCGAGATTTGACAGCGACCAAGCTCAATTCCTACGTTATCTCACTGTTGGGCTTCGCGCACACCAAAAGAAGGCGCACTTACTGCGCCTTTGGAATGAAGCCTGTCATTCAGGCCACGTTGTGTTTGCTGCATCTATCGCCACGTACTTTCACGAGGAAGAACCTCCTCAGCCTCATCTTCGTGCACCCTTTAACTTCAACTCTCTCTCCGACTCGGATTGCGTTGCAAAGTTTCGATTTGGAAAAGCTCATATAGAATCCCTAGTTGCGCACTTTGAATTTGACACAATACGGACTCGTGAACGCACTGCAGCAATGGAGTAGTCTCGAGCTTGGTCACGCTTTCGTTCAAACTGCAGTCGGTTTGCATGTTGTTCCCTTTCAAATGAAAGTCGTTCAGATTGTTGTTGCTGCTGCAACTTCAATTGACGCTCAAACTGATCCCGACGCATCTCCGTATCCAGTCGTATACGTTTTTCTTGTCTATCAACTTCTAGTTTGTAAGTGCTCTTACGACGTGTAGAGGTAGGTGACTGTCCTGGTGGCGTTTGCTTGCGAAGCGACAGACTGTGTTGATGCCACAGAAGAAGTGTCGTCTTCACTCTCCGAGGACGAGTCGCTAGATAGCAGATATTCACCACGCAGAGCTCGACGTGTAATAGCTTCGGCTACAATTTGGGACGCACAGACGTTAGTTTGGGCTTCTTCAGCCTGCTTTTTTTGTTTCTTGTTTTTTTTCGGTCGCGAATTCACTTTCCAATGCAACAAATTGCCCGACTAGCCCAGCCAACGTATTGTAATGAGTTTGTACGTCCGTTGCGTCCTTGGCTTCTTCAATACCACTGCCTAATGTGGCTCGCAGTTCTCCAGCACGCCAATTTTTCTTCAGGAGTCGAACTCGATCTTGAACCTGCTTGTCTATCTCTACGACCTTGATGGAAGCACTCACACACGTTGCAACCTGTACCCACACTGTACCAGTCTCACCGTATTTGGCTGCGAACGGTCTCTGCTTGATAACCTCGCGCATGAGCTCCTTATCCATGTCTTCCGAGAACCGAAAAACCAGCACACTTGTCTTACTAAAGCGATGCTGGGTCAGTCTTAAAATGAAGGCTCGACATATGGTCACAAATTGCTACTCACTCGGTTGAGCTAAAGATAAACTCGCAACCGGCGAAGTAGACCATCTGCTGCGGTTGAGGTCGAAACCTACAAGTTTCTGCTAAAATCCTCTACTGTGTCCTTTAGAGTTCCGCTTGAGTACGAGATAAGATTTTGACTTGTGGTGAAATACAGCTGTTTAGCTCTCGGGTCATTATGTTAATAGCTTGGATTTTTTACGTCGTCGACGTTGGCTCAGGGCTCAAATAGAGCTAAACTGGCAAATTTGGACAGAATTGACAATATTACTGAGCAACACGGAATTACTGCAACCAACGGATGAGATACAATCGCCTTATTAATGATTTAATTGTAGCCAATTATATCACGGAAAGAGGTCAAATCTGCGCAAATGTCCGTATTATGAAATGTTTAGAGCATCTCCAACGCGGGGACCCCATCATAAACCTCAAAATGAATGTTACTACAAAATTAAGACAAAGCCGTGCTGGCACCCGGAGAAGCTCTGGGTTTTATTGGCGCTTTTCTATTTCAAGGAGTTT